GCGTATATTTGCGATGTCATTGTGTCGTTTTGAGTTGCTGTTTTCTATATTATATCGTGATAAGAATTTAATTTAATTATCAATTTGTTCAATCTCTCTCTAATTTGGATGAAGAGCTTCAGGATAGCATACAATATTACGCCGTTATAGTGTCTAACGTGCTAACATGGATAGTTGGATGAACATGCATTGAGTGAGACGATCCACGCATTATTTTCTCATTTGGATGTCGATCTACTGATATATTTTAAGGGTGGGTGACATATAACCTGCAAAGTATTCGTGTCTTAAATGTCAGTGCTACTCTGCCTGCTAGCATAAAGTACCGCTTTGTATAGTCTTTCCGAAGTCAGTTGAACATGTAAAAAACGCCTGACAATAAAACTTGATGAGTTTCATAAAAAGTTTCATAAAAAGTTTTCTGATGAAGGTAAAAAATTATAATAATTTGTATATAATGTGCAGAAAATTTCTATTATATGTTCATTTGGCCAACAACATTGTGGGTACACATGTTGCAAGTGACCCATTTTTAAGCATTACGTCAAGAACGCCTCCGGATGCACCACGGGGTTCCCGGAAGACGACCCCAGCAGAGTGGCGCCAAGGACCAGGAACTTCTGCCAGCGACTACCAAGCTACCTACGACCGACTGCACACACAGGGACTCTCCAGCGAACACTCACCCCGTCAACACATCTTTTTCTATACAACTTAGTTTTCAATAAAATACTTTATTACTACCGTTGAGAAAGCGTTTCATTCTTGCTGTACAGAGAAAGCAACCCTCAACATATTTTAATTATTTATGACCTCAAACAATTTTATTATATTGATGGTAAATTTCGTTTTGTTCCATTTCAAAAGGTCTCCAAAATGCCATGTTGTAATAACATTATTTCTCCCTTTCGCAATTGTAATATCAATGATTAATAGAAGGTGCCTATAATAAATTAAAATTACCTGAATCACACCAAATTCTACATTGTTGCACTGCACTGCTGGACAATTTGTCGATCACTTGTCAACGGCTGAGATTTATTGCCCAGTGACCCAATGCAACTGTATTTGTATTTCGTTTGCCCGCGCTCGCATTCTTCAACTGGGCGTATACATTTCTACCACCTCCACGTTTAGTTCGACCAGACCTGTATATGAGTATGGCTAAATAAATATGGGAACAAGTTTTTCAAATATTTCAATGCCGAGTTGCTGCGTCAGCGACCGAACCTCTGGTACATACTGTCATCCTCTTGGTTCTTCAATTGATATCGAAAAGACTATACCTATGAAAGCATGACTTGTTTCGCACTAGTCGAAATAAATTTTTTAACCTCTGCGGGCTACGTGCTCCGTTTAGCATGTCTAGTGATTCTGTTGACGAATGATGATTAGCTGCTAGATATTGGGAGTGTAATTCAATGTTAGACAGCCCCAGAATAGTTGTTTTCCACTATAATATTATTTAACAATCTGTTTATTCTTATAACATCGCTATTAATAATATTATTAATAATACTATTATTTAATAATATCGTTTAAGTTTAAGTTTCCGTTCCAGTCGAGCGAAATGATTAGATTCGAATGAATTGTAAATGTTTCTCTTCACATTTTTACACTTTTATATCAATTTTGGACTAGATTCTCGATTGCGACGTTCTTTTTATCGAATAATTTTTTGCTTGCTGTCGTTCTCAAAGGTAAAAGAACAACATGGAATAAAAAATAATTATAAACGTTGAAGGGCTGTTTCTCTCTTATTTTTGAGTTTCTAGAAAAAAAAATACTTTTTCTGTTCTACATGCTATTAGTCCAGTCACTGGCATTTTGGCTACCAATTTTTTCGGATGGAATGGATTGACATAAAATTTGAACTGTAGCTAGGGAATAGCCCAAGAAACAAAAGTTATATAGTGCCGATGTGTGCTTTTACCCTAGGGGTGGATGCCACCCCTTCTGGAGAGTAGGAATTTTTTATTAAAAATAACCACACCATTCCATAGAGGGAAGAATTCTAAGCAAAAAATGTTCTATAAGAATTTTTTGTACAGTCAATACTTTTTGAGTTATTTGCGCCTAAACATGTTCATTTTTAGCCCAAAAAATGCATGTTTTTGAGCCATTTTTCGCGAAAATCTCAAAAACTACAAGTTTTATCAAAAAAATGATCATACGCAAAAATGAAGGTAATTAAATAGCAAAGTGATTGCTTTTTTTATTTTTGTAGGTGGTATAGAACCCGAGTTAGGACTCACAGAAGTTGAAGTCAATTTCGAACATAGCTATAATCTAAACGTTCAACGTCCTGTAGCGGAAAAATTAAAGGTTTTTCGAGGAAAACTTATATAACACTTATTAAAGTTCTTGAAAAGACCTTTAAATTGAGTGGTGGTAAAAGTCGTTAGCATGAAAACTAATGAAGTTACAATCAAAATAAAATGATTATGTTGATTTTTGAGAAAAAAAATCGGTATTAAAATTAATGACGACGGAAAAAATATTAAACGTATTCCTTCTGCAGTTTACTTTATTTATGTAGTAACAGTAGATTCTGGGAATTTGCATGATTTTAGAAGCCTAAATTTAAAAAATATTTCATTTACATTTGAATAAAATTTTTCAATATTTAAAAAAATCGCCTTTTTTCAAAATATTTCAAAAACTAACAGTTATAAAAAAAGTGATAGAATAAGAAATTGTAGGTTTTTTCTTACTGAACAATTTGCTTTTTTTTAAATGTTTGTAGCACAAAATTTGACTGAGTTATGACCGTCAGAAGCTCAAAACTAAGCTCCAAGACTGTCTTTCCTGAGCCCTTTTAGCTTACAAATCTAAAAAACGAAGGGCTCAAAGAAACTGCAAATCACAGAATTTAAAGAATAAATTCAATACAATTAAAAAAATTAATTATATCATCATACTCACATATAATTTTTAGGGGTAGGTCTTCCATAAGGGGTTTTTGGGTGGCTGAAAAGTTGCAATGTATCATAGATCATTTGAAAACCAATAGAAAGTTTCTAATTCAACATATGCATAGGTACCATTAAAACATCTCAAGCTTTCAGTAACATTTTTTGTTTATTTTATAAGGGATAGTTTTTAAGGGTTGCAACTTTGTAATGAGTCGTAAGCTTTCTAATGAATAACAAAAAATATAACACATTGTGAATACACCAACAGAATATTTTAAACTGTTAAAAACTTTTTTTCTATTTTTTTGGAGGGAGGGTAGTTTTTAAGGATTTTTAAGAGTTGAAAAGTAATTAAATTTCATAAATTATATTAAAAAACATGAAAGGAACTTTATCCAGCATATTTGAACATGAATTGAATCTTTAAATGCGATTTTCGCATATTTTTCGTACAAGGGTAGTTTTCACCCCCAAATAGAAAAAAGCGCACATCTAGACAATATAAATTTTGAAGTGGAGGGTCAGATGAGCTGGCATGCAAATTTTCAGGAAAATCCATGTTATCCGAAAAAATTGGGAGCTTTTACATTATTTTCGCCTTCAGTGACTAGACTACAAAAAAAAATAAAAATATGCCCCAACTGTAGAATTGTTATACGTGGGTATTACAGTAAAAATTAAAGACGTAAATATATCGACTGTTTTTGCATATTTACGTTCATCTCTGAGGTTTAACGGTATTCCAAAATTGGCATAGGTCAATATTAGAGAAAACTGGTTATATTATTATAAATCTCGGATATGGTGCATACCAACGCTGAAACTGTAGAACCTGGTGTGATCCCAATAAAATTGATCCTAAATTTAAATAAAAAAGGAATAAAGCTACCAAACATGGTCAGCGTTCTTTTACCTGTTCATTCAGGGAGCCTGTCTAATATTACACACAACAAACTTGTCTTTAAACCATACAAACAAAAAGGTAATGTTGAAATATGATTAAAATGGTCGTTTGTGAAGAAGACGCAGATAAATGCTGAGCGCTCCCAGCGGGATGGTATCCTGCGGGGATTGGAACATGCAACACACACTCATCTGTCATACTGTTTACTGACCTTTTTCCTTTTCTGGAGATTTCGCTTTTGTTTTCTGGAGATTCCGGCCGGAGCTAACTAATTTAATTAATAGGCGATATTTTTCACACTGCTATCACCATTTTAATCAAAGGCAGTCATAAAAGGTACCACAGGTGTAGTTATGAATTTGTGTCGGAGAAATGGTTTAACTCCATATAGTATATTTCAGATGGGTAAATAGATGGTGGCGATGATAGGGCATAACGGCTTTTGAGAGGCCTAATTATATGAATAGATTATTAGATGTAACTTTAATAAGTATATTAAATATTATTTATGATATAATTTGTAATTATTTATTTGTTGCACTTTTTTTAAATATATGTACCTAATAGGAAATAATTAAAAAAAAAATTAATGAATTGGTAATATCCCCAAAACTATTGGTCAATTTTATAAACTAATTTCTGATTTTACTAATGTTTCGAAAATTATTTCAATTGTTAAAGCTTTTAATCAAACAAGGACTGAAATCTGAATCGAAGTTTTAATAAGAAATGTGGGTTTTTAGTGGAATCACGAATCTACTATATTAAAGCGTAAAATATTTTCGGTTAAGCAAGAATGAGTTTAATATCAAGCCCTTCATATTCTTTTCTGGCGCAAATAGGTGCTTAAACAATTTTTTTTAGTATCCTAAAATAATTTAATTTCTTTTTCTTTGTGCGTTTATCAACAATCTAAATTGACCTCATCAACAGAAGTCATTGGGATTCATTGGTTATCCTCATGGCTTTTCTTTTTCCAGTGCAGGATATTCCATATAAAAACGATCAGTTCAAATGTCAACTTTTCTATTTCAAAAAATTGCAAATATTGCTGTTCTATACAGACTGTTGCTAATAAAAAATCAACCTGTCTTAGTTCTTCTTTAGTCCTTGGGATACACTTTTTTAGAATATTTAGTTAAACGATATTCTGGATTCTATTTTATGTCTTTCTTTTACAGATATCTTTGGTACAATTAGCCGCAGATGTAGACTTAAGGAACCAAAAAATAACAGAAGTACAAAATTATTGCTCATCGCAGCTGGTAAGTTGAAATTACTTCATCAATTATTATTGTTCATAAATAAATAAATGTCGAATTTACATTTAGAATTTAATATTTATTAAAAAATAATAGATAATAATGAAAAATGTTAAGTTGTAAATATATTATTCTGCTATTTTAAATCATCTATGTATTTTCATTTAGAAACTAGGTATAGTAAATGTTTTCGAAATTAAAAAACAAAATATTATACGAGTATTTATAGCTTATCATTGTTTTTATTACTAGGCAGCACAATATTTGAGTATGTATGAATAATATAATATACCTACATTTTGTTCTTAAACATCCCTAAATACTAAATATTATGGAATTTTTAATGAAAAATTTCTAATGAAACACTTTTATAGTTATGTATTGCAAATAAATTAAATCCATTAAAATGTTTAACGAGTCTGATCCTCTTAGTAGCTATGTTTTAAATGTAGGTATACACTAAATTAAATTTACGTAAATAACTTCAAAGGAAGACATTTATGAAATGATGCAATTTGTGCCTGTCGGATTTTGTTAAAATAACAAATAATGTCGTTGGGGTTCAGTAAAAGCATAGGTACCTCCTCATATTATCACGGACATCAAAATTGTATTTTAATTTACTATCAGTAGATACTCATAAAATTATAAATTTTAGAAGTACGTTTCATGGGGTGTAAATGAAATGGTCGGCCAGTCTTTGACCATTGCAACTATATTTCGGAAAAATTCCTCCGTGTTTTTTTCAAACACAAATCACAAAAAAGAAAAATAAATAACGCTTTCAGCAAAATAAATAATTTTACTCTTTACTAATTATTATTACTTCTAATCTAAAACTACAATACTGGAAAAAATTTTGAAGTTTTTGAATGAAGTGAATGGTTGTGTTGAGATAAAAAAAAACGCTTTGAAGCTTTAAGCCTCTAGTTTCGAGATTTTCAGAATTTTGAGAACTTTACAGGGTTATTGTGGATAAACAATTGTCATAAAGTTGCACTGGGAAAGATCGTAGTTACCGACTTCCAGCAGGTGGTTAAAGACCACCAACCACTGACGTATTTAACACCCACAAATACTCCTTTTTGGAAAAGATATTGCTAAAATTTGCTTCGAAAAAATGTTATATGTACGAGTTGTATTACAAAAACCTAAGGACGAATGGTCCATGATCCGTACGAAAAAATCTTGTATATTGATCAAATATTTTACGAGCTTAAGATATAATATATTTCGACGCTTTAAATTGCTTGAAATCAAGATAAATAATAGAATTAGAAAATTAAGTCAAATAGTGACCTTAATAAAAAATATGGTTTCAGGTCAAGTCCAGTAGTTTTTAAAACATAAGCTCTCGATCAAGCTGCTTTGATTTGATAACTGACAGTTATAATTTAAGTAATCACGTCATCTATGTAAGAAACATATTTTTTATTTCCGTCAACTGTTTTTTACAAATTTGAAAACTTGGTAGTTGTAGAATGTTTTTTTTATTAGTGACAAAATTGGCTGCCATTAAAGTTTAACCAAGCATTTTAGTTACACTCTGTATAATTTAGAAAATGACGCTTATATCTTGAAATTATCAAAAATAGTAAGTATTTCAAAATTTCACATATAAAAATATTGAATTTGTAATCTTCATTTTATATATAAACTTGAAAATTAAATTCTGCAAAACGTATTTGTTAGGTACATCTCCATATGTACACAGGTATTAAATTTTATATTGAAAATTCCACTATCAAATTAAATATGTTATAATGGTAATTGCCACTAAATTTTTAATACCAATGTCGACTGTCTGTGCCACTTTAATATTCTGAAATATTTTTATTTGGAAGTAATACTGTTGAGCCGCAGATAATCGGATTTTTTCCGACAGTTATCTAGAATAAAAATCATACTTAACTTTATCACCGTTCACATAAAATAAAAATTATTACAGATTCAGACCAGAAATGCCTGTGGCACATATAAAACTTAAAAATAATGTCCTACATATGTTTTATGTCAGGGTACATAAACCTTAGGCTATATAAGTTTTAGAATCTGCACAGTGTACCGCATCACCATCTGAGTATACCAGAAACGTGAAAAATAAAACGTGCAGCCACTTGTGCGAGGTAGACCATAAACTAATAAACGCAACACTTAAAAGTGGGAAGGCCTGTCATATTTCAATGTCGGTCAAGCCTTTGCCAATAATTTGCCAGATGGGCGGGTGTCATTCCTATATCTCCTTGCGGATCACTTAAGAACTAGCAAAATATTCAGTTTCGGTAATGTTTAATGTATTTAATTATTAATATTAACATCTAACAGGTAGGTACAGGGTAAAAAAAATGTTTGCTTGTATAAGGCTGGTCACTTTTTAGAGGGTTTCCTATTTCCCGAAAATATAAAAAGGGAGTTAAAATGTGACGAGCCTTATTTTCGAGAAAAATTTAATTCTTTTAGTGCTTTTTTAGATATTTATTTAAACTCAATTTAATTTTTGTAAAGTGATTGATATTTTTGTGTTAATTTACAATAAATATTTAACAATATATGAAATCCGTCGCTGGTTGTTGAACTAGAAAGTATCAGGGTTGACGTTCCATCACGGACATTGATAGGTCTGCGCACAGTGGGCGAAAACGCTCAAAATTCTGTGCGAGGTAGTAAAAGTTGTCCATATTGGGATAGGTATATATTTTATTAATATCCGTAAGTATGTCCGCTTTCTTATGCCACTGCGACAATTGCTATATTTTAAGACCTCAACTTGCGATATCTTAAATACTTTTATTAATTGCAATCAGAAATGTTACCCATAAATGATGCCACAAAATATGACCAATATTTAACAAATATAAAAAAATGTAAGATAAGTATTAATTTTAAAACCAGTTAATTGTAAACCCCCACAAATTCTTGAAACCATAAACCTAAAAGCTTAACCTGCTAAACATAAATCCATTGAGTCCAAACCCACAAAACCCTGACCTATAAAATCTGAACCCATATAACTTAGACCCATAAAATTTAAACCAATAAAATCTAAACCCACAAAACCTTAACCAACGAAACCTAAACTCATGAAACCTAAATTATAAAACCTAAACCCATGAAACCTAAACCTATATAACCCAAGCCGACAAAACCCAGAGCCATAAAATGTAAAAAATAAGATCTAAACCTTAAAACGTAAGTCCATAAAACCTAAACGAACAAAACCTGAATCCATAAAACCTAAACCTGTAAGACCGAAATCCATAAAATCCTAAATCCGTACAACTTAAGCCCACAAAATGTTAAACCTATAAAACTTAAACCTATAAGATCTAAGCCTATAAATCCCGAACCTACTAAAATAATAAGATCTAAACTCATAAAATCTAAATCCATAAGACTTAAGTTCACAAAATGTAAACCCATAAAACCTATAAACCTAAACCAATGTAACCTAAATTTATAAATTCTAAACCTATGCAACTTAAATCCGTAAAATTCACTTAACCCAGACCCAAAAAATCTAAACTAATTAACTCTATGGTCTGGGTTTTGTGGATTTAGTATAATGATTAAGGTTTAATAGGTTAGGTTTTTAAGCTTATGGTTTCAAGAATTTGTGTTTGAATGGTTTACAATTAACTGGTTTTAAGATTTATACCTTACTTTTTTTATATTCGCTAAATATTGTTCATATTTTGTGGTATGGGAAACATTTCTCATTGTAGTTTATAAGAGTACCTATTGAATATATGAAGTTGAGATCTTAAAATATCGCAATTGTCGCAGTAATATAAAGAAGCGGACAAAAATAATGATTTGAACAACTTTTACTACCTCGCAAGGAATTTGAGCGTATTCGCCCACTGTGCGTCGACTTAATTTCCGTGCCTCGTCTTCAACTCCTCTAGGAATATAGTTTGGTCTCCTTGGTCCTGGGTTTCTATTTTGGCCGATTTTGGATTTATGTAGAATCGTTGGTGGTTCTGGAATACAATATCATACATGATGTATGCAGTAAAATCTTCTTAAAACATTAAACATTGAAGATAAATAATTCATGTTTTAAGTTTTGTAAAATTATTAATCGCTATGGTTTTACCATCTACTCCTCTTATAATAGCTTTGTAATATTCAATTATTTAAGAGTAAATCTGGTAATAACTGAAAAGGAAATTATAATAGTTAGTAGTGGATGCGTCCGATTACAAAGGCTAGTAGGGAAGTTCTCAGAGGACCACCATTATTTGAGGAGCACCAAAACCATTAATAAGCCGACTATTTTGTAGATATTGACATTAATGTTTTATGGTGGTTTTCTTTATCGAGGAAAGCTTCTTTTCCTTCATCACAAGTAATTGTTTTTAAATAATTTTGCAGATGAAATAATTTCTTACTTGTCTCATAACATTATTAAACTTTTGATTTATAAGATGTCTATTAAAAATATCAGAGTTGCAGTTCGCATTATTCCAGAACATACCTCCTCAATTATATCAATAAATTAGTGGACTGTCAATGTCAAAATGCCAAATTAACAGATGAATTATGTTTCCGATACTATTTCTCACGTGTTTGCCTTCAACTTTTATGCTAATAATTCTGCGTACCCAAACCAGAAAAATTAAAATTGTTTTAGTTCGGCGAGTTATGAATATAAATTTTAAACTGCTATAAAAGTAAATCGTCAAGAATTATAGCGAACGACCACTCGCGCAGGCTATTAAATTAATGTCTTTTTGGTACATGGGCGTCCTACTCGACTTTGAGTATAGGATTCATGGCATGAAGGCGAAATGCTTACTACTAGTAACACAGTAACCCATATTTTCAAATAGTAAATAACCACAAACATCTAACTAGCGTTGTAATAGAGGAATTTATGTTGGACGTAAATATGTTCGTGCCGCAAACACAATATATCCCTGTAAAGTTAAGAAGAACACTTGATGATAATCATCTTGAATTATTTTTTTTTTAGAACAAATCCGTATGTAAATTTCATTTTGTTTATAAAAGTTTTGAATATTATTTCGCGACGTCGCGATAAGTTTTCAAGGTTGATTCTTCTCAAAACAAGAGTCAAAATTCTTCCTAAAATACCTTCAAATATTGGTCGTTACTCGAGAACAGTTGAAGATATAGATTCCAAACTTGAACAGTCTACTTCCTTGATCATAGCAACTATCTACGTGTAAAATTATTTGGTTAAAAACTAACCAGTGGCGTCGAAATTAGAAGAAATTTGAAGGGTATCACCTGTGAGAAAACAAACGGTAATTTTACTTTGAACATCATTTTCTTTTATAGATTAAGATAGGTTAATTCTAATTTAAATTTTTGTACTTTCGACTGTTTTTTTTTGTAGAATTCATCACTCATAATTAAAAACCAAAAAGACATGGTAAAGACAGGCACATTTTGTACAGCGTTTTGTATAGGTGAAAATCGAAATACCTAATTATACATTTTCCACTAAGTCGCATTTATTTTAAAGAAAGACGAAGTCAAATGAAGAAATTCAGTATTTCCGTAATTATATAGGGTATAACTTGTGTTGTATAAAAATATTAGGTCAACAAAGTAAATCTGAAACGGCTTAATTTTCTAAATACAGGATTTTTACACTTAAAAATAATGTAACATTTAAGCAAATATCTCGAAAGATCTATCAATGGGGCAGATGCTTTGAGCACTAGTTAAAAATCCCAGAATTTCTGTACCACCGAATATTTTTTGGAAGACTTGATTTATACATTTCATTTTCCTATCCCAATTTCTAAGAAACCAGATTTTTTCAATTTTTTTAGAATAATGAGCCACTTTCGTGTTAATATTCTTTTAAGTCTAAAATAAGCCTTGCCTACAGTTAAATATTTAAATTTATTTATTTAAAATTACAACTGCTCAAAGAGAAATCCCAATTACAGAGCAGGGAAAGTCAAAAAAATATAATAAGTCATTACAAATACACTAAAAAAAACAAGAACACTTGAAAATACATAAAAAATACTGCAATATGTGACAAACAATAAAACATATTTAAACAAAGCTCTCCTAAAAATAATTTGTTATTAAAGTGGTAGGGAAAATATCAATGATGTCTTACAAATTTGCAAAATTTCAACACATTACGTATAAAGGAAAATGGTGCAATACATTGGTTCTAGCAGTTCTCAAATAAAATGTATCAGTAGTACGAGTGGTAGCTCTAGAGACATTGAAATTATGTTTACACATAACTCTGAACAATCAAGATTAGCACCACCCAAATTACAGAGGAAAATAACACTATACATATTACGCCAAGTCATTAAAGATTTGTAACCACACTTGTCTAGTTGTAAGTGCTGCGAATAATCGATAGGATAGGATTTTAGTTTCTTCCAATGTAAAAATTTTAAAAACCTTCGTTGCGTTTTCTCCAAAAGTTCAATGTGATTCATGTAATTATGAGCCCAAATAACAGAACAATACTCCAGCCTTGATCTGAGAAACAGTTGAACCACATCTTCATGGTGTCCACGATAGAAAATTATGAATTACAAAACCTAAATTTTTATTAACTTCAATTCAACCCTTGGTCAAAATAAACCCCTAAGTAAATCCTTAATAAAATTAGTTTTATCAAGAAGTACGTTATTTATAGTATACTGATAATGAAACTTGATCTTTTTGCGATAAATGGTGAAAGTTTTGCATTTGTCAATATTCAGTGGCAGCACATTAGATTCACACCAAAGGTTAAGACTATCAAGGTTTTCCTGTAGATTAACGCAGTTCTGAACAGGTTTTATCCTTAAATAGATTTTTATTTCATCAGCATACCAACAACATCGTTAATAAAGATGTTAAATAATAATGGACCCAGGATGGATCCCTGAGGAACATCGGCCACAACTGGAAAATTGTTTGAATCTGAAATACACGTATGTTAGAAAGATGTAGCATAGGCAATGAAAGGCCATATTTCTAAAGCTCACGTAGTAAGATTTCGTGTTGTAACCGATCAAATGAAGAAATCAGGATATATATTTGAAGAAATCAGGATACATATATCCACATCCACTTGCTTTTGATTATCCAAAGCCTCTCTGTACCTAGATTAGAAATATACTTTTAAATAAAAAGCGATTACAAAAAGTTTTTAAATTCCTTAGAGAAAATAACTCCAAAAAATCACCATTTTTCTAAGAAATATTTTGTTATATTACTTATTGTAGAGAAATTTTGAGTTTTTGTTCCACTACGGAGCACCCTATGTCCTCAAACGTATTTAAGGTGGCCATATCCCTGGCCGAGAAATAGTGAAATTTCTGGCGTTTTTAGGTACTGAAATCTTTAAAAATAAAACGTGTAGAACAAAAGTAAGCACAAAAATAAAATCCTTGATGTTATGTTTATTCATTGTTACCATTTAAATTTACTCAAATAAAATAATAACTAAAATAAAAGCGTTTGTAAAGCATGCGTTTGCTGTTATTCTAACCCTACATTTTAAGAATTATTTTCACGTACTTATAAGTAAAAGTAAACAATTTTATATGTAGGACTAAGCAAGTAAATGTTATAAGAATATCTACATGTGGAGTTGTATATAAAAAAGTTAGTATTTTTGTAGATTTCAGTACCTAAAACCTTGATGGATTGATCATTTTTTGCACCTGTTTATTCGTTTTACTGCGGCGTCTTTGAAAATACCCAGATGGCATTACATAACATTCCTATTATTTGATAAGCTTTATATTATTCAGTTATTAAATGTTTGAAATTATTAGTCTTTGTGGAAAACACTATTTAAAGAATATGGGGCTCTTCGTAAATCTATGAAACATGGATTGTGGTGTAAGTAATTAAAAATTCATTGAAATAATATACAAATCAGTAGCGGAAGAGATACTTACATTCAATATTCCAGACTTTACTTATGTATAAATCGAGACTACAAATTGAAAAGAAAATTAAATCTAGAATGCTTACTTAAATTTGTAAAATACCTACTATTTTACATTTCCTTTCGTTCAATCAAACAAAAATTGGAACATCGCACATCAACATCAAATTAATTTTAGGTTATTTGTATTTAAAATGTAAAGAATTTTATCGCGTTCATTTTTGATGACAAAAAGTAGGCTTGAAATTTCTAGTTGATACATCAATAAAAAATTCAGTTATGTTTTACTGACTGACCATCACTTTAATTACCAATAAACTAGAAATTTTTAGACTCCATAATCGTTTAATAAAAATGTAACCATAACCATACATCTTAATATGCCCTTCCGCACGCCCATGTGTCTTGTCACTTGTAACAAAACAGCGTAGGCATGCATGTATGGACTATGGTGTGAAATAAATTATTTAAACGATTATATCTTTCCGTTTAATTAGACCATAAATTTGAAATTTTTCTGTTTGCAGAGCTCATTTTGGGAGTGCCTCAATGCAACATTTAAAGGTAAGTCAAACACAATTGGATCGTTTTTTTTATTCGCATTTTACTACATTGTTTCTCATTGTGTCACTTGTAGTTCGTGCTAAAAATATCCTGACAGGATTCAAGTTCACGCGCTTTGTACATATACCGTTTGTGAGAAGCGACTTAAATAATTACTTATAAAATTCTTAGAATTAAATATTCTGACACAGAGAAGTGTGGTATAATTACATTTTTAACATTTCCAAATTATTTTCTACTGTGTGTATTATAACAATCTAATAGCCTTACTATTAAGATAAATAATAAATATACAACAATCTCTGTTACCTTGTCCTGAAAGCAATAATGCCTAGCCATATGTGCTAACAAGTGACTATTCAAATAAAAATCTGATTCGTCTTCAATGTTGTTTGTGATGTTCGATAATATGTGGATGTAAATAGTATTACACGAAAAGATATAGACCGTATAAAACGCAACTATTAATCTGCAGTTTTACAAATTTCATGTAAGCTGCCCAACGAATACAGACACAGATCCACAAAAAAAGGTGTTGCAGAAAAGTATATTTTTTCTCAAAAAATTGCTCAAAATGACCTGTTTTTCTGAAAAGAAGTTAATTATTAATTCAAATGAGCAGACCATACTACCTATATGTTTTATTGGAGCCCAGAAACAGAATCCGAGATCAAAATTGGCCTAACTCCTTAATTTTGACATAATAATGATATTTATTGAAACAATAATTACAGGTTTTTTCAAGCACACATTAATTAAAATCTATATAATATAAATACAGTGAAGAACTTGTAAATTCACAAATATCAAACTACTCACTGAGCATTTACGTGAGGACAATTTATAATAGTAAAACATTCCTTAGACTATATCTTAAAATAGAACACAAAAATAAAAACAAAACAGTATTTAATAGAACATAACACATATTTATTACTAATTTATGCAAAAATTAATTTTATATTTAGTTAATCTTTAGATCTATAATATTATGGGTACAACCCCAAGTTTGATCGACAAAAAATAAGTAAACGTAATTGTGGCCAAAAATATGTGATCGTCATAAGGAATACCTACGTTGTGTGTATCTATTTTTAAATCGACCGGAAGGTGCTGGCTACTAACTTTGTAGAGGGGATGTATGGTTTAATTTTATAAAACAAAAGCAGAGTAAATACACCTAACTTTATTATCTACATACAACAGTTCTCAAATAAAACATGTGACAAATAGAATGAACAACAAAACATTAATAACAATTTAACATAAAATGAGAGTGCCAGGCTCACCTAGAGCTCCTGTGGGGAAAGAGCATGGCAGAGAAACCCACGATCTTTGCTCTTACCACCCAAATATAAATACAAAACAACCGCTAACCAAAGGCATAAATTAAGANAATAAACTAGAAATTTTTAGACTCCATAATCGTTTAATAAAAATGTAACCATAACCATACATCTTAATATGCCCTTCCGCACGCCCATGTGTCTTGTCACTTGTAACAAAACAGCGTAGGCATGCATGTATGGACTATGGTGTGAAATAAATTATTTAAACGATTATATCTTTCCGTTTAATTAGACCATAAATTTGAAATTTTTCTGTTTGCAGAGCTCATTTTGGGAGTGCCTCAATGCAACATTTAAAGGTAAGTCAAACACAATTGGATCGTTTTTTTTATTCGCATTTTACTACATTGTTTCTCATTGTGTCACTTGTAGTTCGTGCTAAAAATATCCTGACAGGATTCAAGTTCACGCGCTTTGTACATATACCGTTTGTGAGAAGCGACTTAAATAATTACTTATAAAATTCTTAGAATTAAATATTCTGACACAGAGAAGTGTGGTATAATTACATTTTTAACATTTCCAAATTATTTTCTACTGTGTGTATTATAACAATCTAATAGCCTTACTATTAAGATAAATAATAAATATACAACAATCTCTGTTACCTTGTCCTGAAAGCAATAATGCCTAGCCATATGTGCTAACAAGTGACTATTCAAATAAAAATCTGATTCGTCTTCAATGTTGTTTGTGATGTTCGATAATATGTGGATGTAAATAGTATTACACGAAAAGATATAGACCGTATAAAACGCAACTATTAATCTGCAGTTTTACAAATTTCATGTAAGCTGCCCAACGAATACAGACACAGACCCACAAAAAAGGAGTGTTCCAGAGAAGCGTATTTTTTTCTGCTGAATCCAATTCCGTGGTTAGAATTAGCTTATCGTCCTTTAATGAGTGACCGCAAAAATAGCCCGTTTTTTCACAATTTGCAGAGAACTAAAGAAAATAGATAAAAATATGTTTTTGGTCTCAAATTACTCGTCGTAAAAAAATAAGATGAGCATAGCTTTTAGTTTTTTGAAAATTTTCGAAAATCACCCCTATTTAGGAGTTGAAAAGAGGCCCAAAACGAAGAATTGAATATTATCACTAAATATAAAAACTATTAGCATGTGAATTTTTCTATCGAATGATTCTTGATACAAAGAAAGATTTATTCTCATGACTGAAATAAGCATATTGAATTATAAAATCCACCCTTAAGCGCGCTCAGGGGGAATCATCCCCAAAAATAGAGAATATCAGAAATAATTGTAAAAATTCCAAAAATATATATTAAGATAATTCACATACTAATTGTTTTTAACTCCTAAGTAGGGGCGATTTTTAAAATTTTCAAAATACTAAAAGCTTTGCTCATTTCAGTTTTTTACGACAAGTAATTTGCGACCAAAACCATATTTTTATGTATTTTTTAAATTCTCTGCGAATTTTTTGCGGTCACTCTTTGACATAACCTCAAAAAATTGCTCAAAATGACGTGCTTTTCGGGAAAGAAGTTAATTATTAACTCAAACGAGCAAACCATACTACCTATATGTTTTATTGGAGCGCTGAAATGGAATCCGAGATCAAAATTTGCTCCTTAATTTTGACATAACCTCAAAAATAGCTTACAAATGATCTAATTTTCGATAAAACATTTAATTTAAGGCTGAAACGATCAAAACCATACTACCTATATGTTTTTTGGGGCGCTGAAACCGAATCCGAGAATTGTCCTATCGCTCTCAGAGTTTTCCTGAAAGCCAAAAAACCATGTGAAATCCAGGTAAAATAGAATTGTTGTGATGTGTTTTTATTTTTAATAGCTAGGATGAAATATTTATTTATTAATCCCTATTTTATTTAAACAATTTAAAAAAGAAATTGCGATCTGACGAAGGTTGATAATATACAGGAAAAATGCACACAATATTGGTGTCAAATCAATTCCTATACCCGAAGCACTTAACTTCTTCGGTTCAAAAATAGAAATACTATACTTAAAAAATAAAAACGCACAACCGTTTCGTCCTCGAAATCCTATTTTACCCAAATTTCGCATGATTTTTTGGCCCTTTCGAAAATTGTGAGGGTGACAGGACAATTCTGATCTCGGAATCAAGTATTTTTTGTATTTGTGGGTATTTTTAATTTAAAACTTATTTTAGCCAGTTTACACTTGGTTTTTTAGCCTGCATTGAAAATCCTATGGTGGTGTGCAAATTCTAACCTGTGATCCACAATTAGCGAAAAAATATACGTACAGAACGAAGTCATGACCGGTACTCTTAAAATATTTAGTTTTTTATTTAAGTCCTATTCTTTATTCTGGTCTGATCGCTTTCTGCAAAAAAATTCAAGGCTGATGGGCCAATCCTGACCTCCTGACAATTTCAATACCCCAAAAACATATTTAATTTTGATATAATGCATTTGTAATGTAATATGTGTATTTTAAATCAAAACCAACCAGTAGCGTAAGAATTATGAAGGGTCTGAGGAGATTCAACTGCTAAAAAAATTATTACACGTCGCTAAGATAAATAAGCTCACGAGCCTTTAAAACAATGCAGAGCATATACCAATTTTGAAAACCTAAAATGATCAGGGAATTTTACAGGAACGTAAATAAAGTATTTGGAAATTTCTCAAAATTTTATGGAATATTTAAATTCTAACAAAATGCAACACCTAGATGTCATGTTGTAAAAACATAAATTTGCTACTACCAGTAATTTTGTGACGTTTATTTGTATCTACCACCTGTTTCGTGTGTTTATCGGTTCAGTATCATTAAGAATTAGTTCATTTTATTTTATTTTGAGATATATAGGTACTTGCTTGTGTTATAATAAATTAATTATGAAATCAACTGTTAAACCTAGGCACTCGAATATTTAAATATGTTAGTAAACGTGTGATCTAACAACGTAATGAATTTATTTTAAAAAGGAATGGTAGGGACTGCATTATAGCTGTTTTACATTGACAATTTATTCATCAATAAATTGACGAAGTTCTTCATCAATTAATTCACGAATTTATTGATAAACAGTGTGGTTTTATATTGCTACGGACTTTGTCAAGTTTTTTGACGTATGAATCAGTTCTACCAATGAATCAAAGAAGCAAATAAATTTCAAAAATGTCACCTTTCCACTCATAATTGTAGTGATACAACAGCGGTACCGTTCTGACACATATTATATAAATATTAGTTTTTGTAAATAACAAATCAGTAAAAACAATGCAAAACTAGCACGACGCCACACAATTATTTACATATTCCAATAACATAACCTCATTACTGATCTGAGGCTGGAAATCTGTTGGGTTGGTACTTCCGAACTTCACGAAGAAATTGACGAAAATTAGAACATGCTCTAATTCGTCAAGAACT